CTACAGAAGTTGGTCCTGGGGCCTCATTTTTGGCGGGGATGGACGAGGGGATAAACACATTGCCCCCAAACAAGCAAGTGGCGACTAATTATGGTTTTGATGAAATCATGTGAAATAGCAGAAAAGCCCTGATACCGACCCTAGCTGTATACTGCAAGAAAACGTTTTAACCTCAATTTTAAGAAAAAGAAGAAGAAGAATGAGTGAGTGAAATTTAACCCCACTAGAACTTCACAACGAGCGATAAACACCTAGTGACATATGGTACCACCGTTCGGATGAGAATCACTGAGGACAAGTCCTAGAAACCCCGTTTAATCGTTAGATTATTTTAGGGCCCCATCGACAACCGGAGTGGGGGCTTTAAAATAAACACACACAAAAATGGCGTCATATATCAGGCTAAAGAAATAAAATAATAATTAAAGAGAAGAGAAGGTGGAGGAAGAAATGTATCCAAATATTTGGGACCGCAATAAGCCCACCCGGAGATAGCTTCCGGGTCATCATGTGGAGGAGAGAAGATGCAAAAGTTTGAGTCTGTGCGGACTACTGAAGTTGGTGAGTTGTGGTCACCAGTTTCACATTCTGCGTTCATTAATTTAATGCTAATTGAGTAACACATTCTGTCTTTAATTAGCGAAATATATGGGCCTGTTTTGAAAAATCAATTTTTTTCTCTTTCTATGTGTAAATTATATGCCGAAATTTGTAAAGATTAAATTCTTTCGATATTAATATTATTGGCTCTTCTTTTAAAGTAACTTTAAACTACGGCCGGTAGACAACAGTAGACGGCCGGTTAGTCGGAGTTCAGTCCCTTGGCTACAGTGCAATAATGGACTGGAGAAGGCACGAATCAGAAAACACAGTGAGGTCGACATGCCTGGCATGGCAGACCCGGCTCTGCGACTCAAATTAGCGACCGCGTTCAATTACCGCTTCTTGCGACGAATTACTGGGTGGACTAGAGGGAATGACACAAGTGACATAATAAATTACTGTGTGTTGGCGATAGACAGTGTGCAGTGCCCTACTGTCATCATACGGTTAGGGTGTGGGTTTGGTTTAGGGTTAGAGTTTGGGTTGCTACTATGAGTTTGTGCGAAGACGAGATGCGGCGACACTAACCGTAACCCGAACCTACACCCTAACCCTAAACCTAACCCACACCCTACCCCTAACCCAAACCGTAACCGTATGATTATAGCAGGGCAGTGCACGCTGTCTATCGCCAACACACAGTAATTATGTCATTTGTTTCGTTCCCTCCTTTCCACTCCGTAATTGCACTGCAGCAAAGGGACAGAACTCCGACTAACCGGCCGTCTACTGTTGTCTACCGGCCGTAGTTTAAAGGAGAGCCATATTATTTATTATTTGTTCATTCATTTGTTGGCAACGATCATCGAGTCTATACACACTTTATGTGTTTGAGAAATGTTGGTTTATTATATAAATATATAACGACTTTCGCTGTGATCACTGAACCCCCATAAGGGCATCGGTCTTACAAGATAGATCACAACAGAAGAGTCTACAACTGCGATGTTTTAGAGTCCCGGTAGACAGTACGACGGTATCGAGGGTCGTCTACTACTACTTGTTAGTATTACTATAACATAATTACTACTGACTCAAAGTAACAGTACAGTCAGTAACTACTGTAGGTAAGAATATCTGGCCAGGACCTCACCATCACAAAATGCACACATACGTGTGCATATATCTGTGTATGTTTCTGCACCAAAAAATGGCTGTTATGCCCGATGCAGCCTTGAAAAAAAAAAGCAAAAAAAAAACCTCAAAAACTGTTGGCTACAAACCCTATCTTCTTTATCTTTGACCGTTACAGGTGTCAGGGGAGATATAAAGTTCAGCTTCTATCTCTTCTGCCCACCTCAGCCATAGACACATCATGCTGTGGCATCCTTCCTTCTTGGTCTACCTTGTGCTGTATGTCCTTCTTCTCTGTTGGTACATGCCGTGATGGTATGGCATCACAAGGCATTCTCTCTAAATGGACAAACCATTTGCTTTGCTGCCTTTGTATGTAATTGAGAACTGGTTCTGTGCCGACTTGTTCTGTTATTACCTAATTTCTTATTTTATCTCCTCTGGTCACTTCTGCAGTCCTTCTCAGACATGTTATTTCCATAGTAACTAATTTTATTTTTATAATAACCCGATTGCAGTGAAGTTGAAACCTCGGTTAAGACTAAGACTCATTTTCTTCTATAAAATGGATGGATCACATGGTCAGAATCACACTGGTCACCTTGAATTCCCATGACATTACCTGGTACCCATTTTAGGTTGTGTTGACCTTTTAGCCAGGGTCAGTTTTAGAAAAAAAACAGTTGACTTGCGGATTGGAACCCAAGACTTTTGGACTGCCAGATGAACGTCTAACCCCTACACTACATCAGCTTTCAGTATATTCAAAGTCATTAATAATTCAATATATAAAGATAAAGATAAGAGGATTGACCTCACTGCACCATTTTTTATACCATATGGCTCAGGCCCTCTCCGCAGAACAGCTAGCTGCCTGTCGAGAGCGTCGCACGGAGCATGATCTCCGTAGCTCCAGCAATGATCCCCAAGGATCTTCATAAAAATTGCACTTGTGGTCTGAGCAGCGGCGCCACTGTGAAATGAATGCACGACTTTCGTGGCGCGAGATAAGAAGAATTTTATTCAATGTTGTGTGTGGTGTATTTAATATATGTGTATTATGTTGCAGCCTCGCCACTGTATGAATTTGCCGTTGATGAAGACACGCTGTAGTGCAAAAACATTTTGTTTTTTTGGTGAAGAAAGATTATTTGTCTCCTGTGGTGTACACTTGATCATGATTGGCTTAGCTGTTCATCATTGGCAACAAGTGCCTGCTTGTTCTTGACGTTGTTTAGTCAGGAGGATTTACCATTCTTAGGTACAAACATTAACATTTCTAAATACTTTTACAATTAAATTGACTGTCTTGTGTTGAAGATTTTTTTTGACTTTATGAAACATGGATTACGACCTGTTGCCACAGTCAACTCTAACACAGATGATCCTCCGTGCTATGATGTCAAACTGTCCAGCATCTTTTCTCTCAGTCTCCCTCAGCCTCTCCTCCCCTCCAACTTTCCTACTTCCCAATGTACTCCAGTTTTCTCCTTCTCATCAAATGACCAAAGACTGTCTCTTTCTGATGTGGGCAATCAGTTCTCTCCGTGAATCAGTTTGCTTCAAGACATCCTCATTACTCTTTTTATCTGTCCAGAGTTTTCTCATCATTTGTCTATTATACCTCATCTCCACAGCTTCCAAATAATTTTTCACTAATCTATCATTTGTCCATGATTCACTTCCGTATATCAAAATAAGATTTATATAGCTTTTAAGAATTCTCTTTCTTGTCTCAACTGACACAGAAAGATTGCATAAAATGTTGTTCATTTTGTAAAATGCTACCTTTGCTTGAGTTATTCTACATTTAACTTCTTTAAAACACCCTCCATCTGATGTTATTGGGATACCCAAGTACTTGGACATATCAACTCGCTTGAGGTTTGTCCCATTTACTTTGATGTTGCATTAGAAAATAGTTGCATTTGGCTCGTAATATAAATTAACAGTAGCTGCACTTGGTACCTACCAGAGAAGGAAAGAGGTTTTAGATGTTGTGATGTGATCCAACGATAAAATAGGGCGTCGTTAATGTAATCAATGAGAAAATGTGCAAATAATAGGACTCTTGTTGAAGACTCACCCAAACACACCCACACAAGCTACCGCACGCACATTCTGTGGATACATTTAAATGACATCTTCAAACGACAGGTCAACAGCACAACCTTGAAAGTCCGGATGGTCACACCGATCTCCTCTTCTGCAGTCTGAACAGGGCAATGTCCGTCTTTAATGATTCGGCCTAGAGAATCCTTCCTTAAAGATACCGGCTTCTTGTCGAGCGCAATAAACAATGTGCCAGCTTTTAGCTGAGGTTTCTAGTGGAGTCTCGGCGTAGAGCGTCCTGAGGGATCCACTGAAACACGACCACACGTCTGTCTCCTTCAGACTGTATGCACTGAATTTATATTACAAGCCAAATATGGCTATTTTCTTGGATATCGAGAACTTTGTCTGGCATTAACTCAACTCAGACACTATTCCAGATTCTCATGGGGAGATGTAATGTTGGGATGCATATTTACACTTGTCGCAAAAGCGCCTATCCACGAGAAACTCATGACAAAAGGTATTAAGCACATTACATCATGATAATGTCATATTGACAGTTTAAAGATGGCCACCCCACTTTTGACATGCACCAAAGAGGAACAGCATTCTGTTATCCATTTTTTAATCATTGAAAGGGTGTCAGAGGTCCACACCATTTGGCAAAGCATTAGATGATAATGATAACACATCCCAAACTATTTCTCTAGCTGAAGATTGATGCCTGGCTGTGTACCAATCTACCATACTTTGTTGACGTTATCCTATGCCTGGCTGTGTACCAGTCTACCATCCTATACCTGGCTGTGTACCAGTCTACCATCCTATGCCTGGCTGTGTACCAGTCTATCATACTATGTTTGACGTTATCCTATGCCTGGTTGTGTACCAGTCTATTATCCTATGCCTGGTTGTGTACCAGTCTACCATCCTATGCCTGACTGTGTACCAGTCTACTATTCTATGCCTGGCTGTGTACCAGTCTACTATACTTTGTTGACATTTCCTATTCCTGGCTGTGTAACAATCCACAATACTAAGTTGACATATCCTACAATCATGATTGTCCACACCATTTGGCAAAGTATTTGATGATAATAACACATACGAAACTATCTATTCCTCTAGCTGAAGATTGACGCCTGGCTGTATACCAACCTACAATACTATGTTGACATTATCTGACACCCACACAAATAAACATTATTCTCTAAAGTAAAACAGTTCTCCATTCACTCAAGAGAGCATCACACCAAAATTCCTTCACAATGAGCATAGAAGAGATTCAGGTAATTGAGCTGAAGATGATGGACAAGCGGAAGTATTACCCGTTGACTTTAGCAAGTGGTTTGACAATACGGAGTCTGCTGTACCCGTTTATGCTAATAAAGACGCGGTTGCAAATACAGAAGGGACGTACTGTTTATAAAGGGACTTTTGATGCATTTATGAAGATTGCAATAAATGAAGGCAGGAGTGGGCTGTATCGTGGATTTTGGGTGAGTTAAACTGCTTTTCAGAACATTTATTTAGGTTTTACTCTGTGTTGTATTATCCTTTCTAATCTCATTGCATCCTCGCTGATGCTACAGAGTTCAAGGGCTCTGCTGAGATTCTTTGTACCTAGGCTTGAGTTAGAAGTAGAACGCTTATTCGTCAATGCAGCAGCCCCTCTAAGGTATCGCTACTTATAGGTCCAATGAGAAGCAGGTTATAATATCTCCTATTTTTGTTTTGCCTTTATGCCTTACACCCTGTTGATTCCACTGCAAGGATTTTCTAGTTATTGTGTGCTCAATTCAGTGCCAGAATTATCAGTTCCCATGCTTCATGCTCCAGGTTGAGGGTCACGATTTCAGATGGCCCTTTAACATCTGCTAACGTCAAAGTGTCTGTCTCTCAACACTAAGATCAGAATATATAAAACTTTGATAAGACCAGTCGTGTTATATGGCTCTGAAACTTGGAGCAACACTAACCGCCTGCAAAGAGTGTTGCACAAAGCACAAACTCCGTAGCTCTTCCAACAATCCCCAGGAATCTCCATAAAAATTACACCTGTGAACCAAACGATGCAGGCGTGAACCGAACCTGTGACTTTCAGAGCATGAGGCAATCAGCTTGACTACTTTGCTGCAGCGACCCCTGCACGCATAGGAGTAGATAAGAGAGAGACGTGGATAACAAAAAAAAAGATTTTAGAGGACATAGGGAGTACCAAAAGATAGGATGACAGCATGCGTTGGTTGAGGTTCTACACCCCATTGGGGGATAGGATGACAGCGTGAGTTGATTGAGGTTCTACATCCCATTGGGGGATAGGATGACAGCGTGAGTTGATTGAGGTTCTACATCCCATTGGGGGATAGGATGACAGCGTGAGTTGATTGAGGTTCTACACCCCATTGGGGGATAGGATGACAGCGTGAGTTGATTGAGGTTCTACATCCCATTGGGGGATAGGATGACAGCGTGAGTTGATTGAGGTTCTACACCCCATTGGGGGATAGGATGACAGCGTGAGTTGATTGAGGTTCTACATCCCATTGGGGTATAGGATGACAGTGTGAGTTGAGGTTCTACATCCCATTGGGGGATAGGATGACTTAGCATGAGTTAATTGAGGTTCTACACCCCATTGGGGGATAGGATGACTTAGCGTGAGTTGATTGAGGTTCTACATCCCATTGGGGGATAGGATGACAGCGGGAGTTGGTTGAGGTTCTACACCCCATTGGGGGATAGGATGACTTGGCGTGAGTTGGTTAAGCTGGGTTGATTCAGGAACCAACATCACACCATAAGCGCTCTGTCACAATCTTCAGCAGCCAGCTCAGAGTTCCGATACCAATGGTGCCAACAGCATTCTGATTATACATTCGTGTTGCCTTTCCTCTGAGCGTCGAGTATTGGCCAGATCCCCCTGTCATTCCACACTGCATCACTATCACCAGACTGGTGATCCATTTGCTCCTTCAAATTGTACACATTCTCCTACAAGGCCCTAACCACGTCTACCTAATCATGGATCAATATTACACCACGTTGTGCAGTGCCAGCCCTTCTGTCTACTCGTTCATTTCCCAGCACACGGGTATGCCCTGGAGAAAAGATCCTAATTTAAAAACCATAATTTTGTAGTGCATAAGATGATATATTTTCCCAAATTTTCAGAATTTAAAATTGGAGGTTTTCTTATAAACAGAATATTATTAAAACATTAATTTCAAAACTGTCCCCTTTAGGTAGGGGGGGGGGGGGTGGGGGTTGCCTGTGTCTTTCACATGGAATTGTACGATACAGTATTTTCTGTTTTCTTATAAATTAATTACAAATATGTGATTGCTTGTAAAAATTCTACAAATGATGCCTTCAGATTTATTTAATTGTGTCCGCCAGGTGTCCTGTCTACAACTGTTTCCTTCCATGGCTTACATCTCAGCTTACGAAGGGACGCGACACTACCTGGCGGAACACATGGGTATACAAGACAACAGGGTGCGCTCTTTTATTGGTGAGACCTGTGTTTCTGATTTATCAGCTTGACTTCACAGTATACAGGGTGTCCTAAAAGTTTTCACACGTAGGAAAAATAAACATTTCTTTTCTGCGTGGAAACCCATTTTTATTTAAATCAAAACAAATATAAGTTTTGCTGATTTTGTGCTTTTAATGGTGTTGGTGATTTAAAAAAAAATAATCTTTTAAATTTAAAAAAATGTATGTATGGAAACTTTTGGGACACACTGTTTTTTGGATTCATCATCATCATGTGCTTTGTCAAAGGGCATAGGCATGTTTGTCTCTACAAGCCAAGGTAGCCGGTAGCTAGATGGCTCCTAAGGCCTTTTGTTCAATTCCACAGTGGAGCAGTTTTTTTTCCTTCTTCAGAATTGAGTTTAGCTGCTTGGTTGGCCCTGCCAAAAATGGGTACCAGGTAGTGTCCTGGGAAGTAAAGGTGGCCGGCATTATGTTGACCACATCACCTACAGAATGCCACTTGGTCTATAAAAATGAGTCTAGAATCATAAGCTGTTGACCACTGGTGTAGAGGGGGTCCTTCACTTTTTGTTATTGTAGATCTCCTTGAGACCTTGGATCTCGTTCAGTTCTGCTGATGAAATCCCTTCCTGTGACTGTTTTAGACCATAAAATATGTAATTTCTTCCACATGTGGGTTCTCTGGCTCCACTGTGGGGAAAACAAGAATAGACCAACTGCCTCCCTAACAAGCATGTCGCAAGAGTCGACTAATTAGGGGCTTCCTTTGACGTTGGGATCCATTGCCTGGAAGATAAGAAACCAACAGTCTGCATACAAATAAGTCAGACCTGTAAATTATGTACGCAACTGTCAGGTTTTAGAACAAGTCTAAAGTCCAGAGGTGGATGAACAACCAGAATTTTCCGCCGGAGTTTACAGCCCGTGAATGTGAAGAAGAAGAATATCATTTCTGTCCACCTCTGCCACAGCTGATCCCCCCCCCCACCCCATTCCCTCCCCCAATTATCATGGTATGTTTAGATGATTACTAACTGTAAATTCTGTGACAAGAAGCAAACTGGAACATGTTGTGACAGCTGAAAAAATCTGTGGCAAAAAAAAAAAAACAGAGTAAGATAACAGCCTTTTATCATTGCATGGAGGAGTGTCAATTCACAAACTGATACATCTGTTGAAGATTATAGATTGGAGAGGTATGGCCATCTACGCCACGCCAGTCGGCAAAGCACTCAATGATGATAATAATTTTCTGAAAGTCATCAGAAATAGTGATAGAATTAGTATCCTGGGAGATACTGCTGTTGAAATGTGGTGGTACTTCCTCTTCTACATTTTCCGTTAAAACGGCACTTGGCACACTGTGCTGTGGTTTACAGCCTTTTGGTCCAGCACATCTGATTTCAGCAACACCCTGATTAGTTGCTTTTACTACATGCTTGTTAGGGGGTATTGTAAAGTAAAGAAAAGATCCCTTTTCACGCCCTCTATGCGCATCAGGCATATGGGAGGAGCACCCAAATTTTACAGACCATTCGGCCCTAGGAGGGTAATGTGGTCAGCATTACGCCAGCCGTCTTTACTTCCCCAGGACACACATCCTGGTACCCATTTTAGGCTGGGTCGACCTGCGATGCCTCATATCATGATAAAAATCCACACAGCTAGCAGTGGGTTTTGATCGCGGTACGCTGGAATTTAGGGGGGTATTGGGTCTATAGTGAGTCGTTACTAAGTATGAGAAATATAATATGAGGATAAGCATTGATAAGACTGAGGCAATAGTAAAAGGCAGACAAGAAGAAACCAAATCAATTATAGTAAATAACACAGAAATAAAACAATGTAGCAAATTTAAATATCTAGGATAATTTTTCACCTCAGATAGAATTGATAGAGCAAACATATGATGTGCAACAGCAAATCAGGTAATGGGACAGTTAACTCCCGCATAAAATCAATTTGTTCTCTTTCTATGTGTAAATTATATTATACGTAGAGAAAGATACCTCTGTCAGCCAAAGCAAATCTCTAAAGAACAGTTTTTTTGGGGGCCAACATTGAGCTATTAGTGCCAAACATGGACCCTTACTACAACTAATGAGCGGAAGAGCGTAACAACAGAGATGAGATGTATAGTGGAACCTCGTTTAACGAGCATAATTCATTCCAGAACGAAACTCTTTAAGCGAAACACTCATTATGCAAAACAATTTTTCTTATATAAATTATTGTAAAATACGATATTGCGTTCCATGTCGAAAAAAATACTCACAAAATGCTATGTATAACTTTTATCCAAAGCAAATTATTTACATATTGTCAAGGAAAGTGAACCATCTTTATCTTTTCTTCCTCCATAAGCTCTTGGGGTGGTCAGCTCTTGGCTATGCTCTTCGATATCACTGTTATCCACCTACAATCCCATGATAGTGGCCAAAAACACAGTCTCGTTGACTGCAGGTTCCACAGGTACTGTCTCGAACCAAAGTCACAAAACGACAACGCTCTCCGATCAAAGCTTCTTCCAGGCAGAAGTTAGGGTTCTCTTTGTAACCTCTTCCCCCGCCGCGTCGATCATCTTGAAGCAGGCAACGATGTGGAAGTGATTTTTCCAAAACTCTTTGAGAGTGAGGTTGGTCCCTTCAGTCACCTGAAAACAATGCTTGAAGAGTGCTTTAGTGTAGAGCTTCTTGAAGTTAAAAATAACTTGCGGCTCCATGGGCTGGAGTAACGGAGTGGTGTTGGGAGGCAGAAACTGGATCTTGATGAACTTAAATTTTTCAGGGAGGTCATGTTGTAGGCCTGGAGGATTCATGTACATATATCACAATATAACACAAGTTTGAGAAAATGTGTGATCACAAGCGACACTACGATGCTACTGGAACGATTGCTAAACACAGACTGGTGTAACATGCACACAATTCGGGACTTCCCCTCTCCTTGCCACTCGTTATGCGAAACGTCGCTCGTTAAGCGAGTCATTCTTTTACAATTTGTTTTGCTCGTTATGCGAATTACTCGTTATGAGAGGTGCTCGTTTAGCGAGGTTCTGCTGTATTAGAAAAGCTGCCGGTGTGACAAAAAAGGATAAAATCAGGAATGAAGAAGACTAGGACTGAAACCAGTCATACAGTTCATTAAAGAACAACACATGAGATGGTTTGGCCACCTGATGAGAATTTCCAGATACCAACTGACACAGAAAGCCACGCTAAAGAAGTATAATGAGCGACACCATCAGGAGCAACCTAACAGAAATGAACACAACTTGTACAGTGCATTGGAAAAAGTGCACAAACGATCCTTACATCTTCCCCAACACCTCGTTGAGGTAAATGGTGGAAGAGATGAGAAAAAGAGAGGGGTCTATCCCCCTAAACCATCCAAATGGCGACCTGTAACACAGTGTTGCTCAAGTTCGTGAAACATTACTTTTTTTTTCTCACTGTGGTTGTTCATTGTCTCATACTACATTTGGCCATCTCTTGATGTTATCCTCTCAATTGTAACACTGTCTACCTTTTGCTCTTCTACCTTCAGTTTTTCCATCCAGTAAGGATTAGTCATACACCCAGTATATAGTTATGAACTGTTCCATTGAATATGGTTTTGTTCTTTCCCAGGAGGTGGTTTTGCGTCAACGATAGGTCAGACTCTGGCCGTCCCTATAGACATTGTCACCCAGCACCTGATGTTGATGGGAAGAGGCAGTAGCGCAAAGGGTCTGTCTCTATGTCTGTTTGTCTCCAGGCAGGGTTGTTCCTTTTTTGTCATTATGTTATATGGTTTAAGCAAAGGCATCATTTTGCAAAATGAAGAATATTCTATGCAGTCTATTTTTGTCAGTTGCGTGAGGAATAGAACAATTAAACAGAATATATTTATAAAAGGTCACAAATTCGGCACACAGCTCATCTTACATTCAGCCCTTACAAACAGTCATCTTTCTTATATATAATAACACACGCAAACATGCATACATACATACATACATACACACACACAAAGAAACTTTTTAAGAGCTTTGTTTATAAATCCAATACTGATATATGGAAGTGAATCATGGACAATTAACCAATTAGTAAACAGTTACTTGAAGCAGTAGAAGTATGGTTTTATAGACAGATGATAAGAACCCCCTTGGGTGGATTAAAAGAGAAATTAACTCTGAAGGAACTGATTACCCACATCAATTGGAGATAATCTACATTCTTTGACCTTGTCCTGAGAATGTGGAATAAATCGTGACAGTGGTGGACAAGTTAGGAGGAAAAGGGCTACAGAGAGAGAAAATGCTGGACAGTCTGACATCCTGACATGGAAGATTGTCTGCGTCAGAGTTGATAGGAAATACATCAGACGGGAGGTTTTGGACGGACATGACTGTCAACGCCATACGGCATGGACTATAAGAAGAAGACGAAGCAGTTAGATTAGTTGTATGTCTTCTTCAGATCATAGCATACCTGCCCCAGTATTTATCGGCTATGATTTTACCTACAGAGGAGCTGCTGGTTGGTAGATCCAGGTTTAAATTCTTGATAAGATTAAAATAAAATAACCTGCACAGTCCGTGGTAGCTGCGCTAGCCAACTGGTCCTAAATTCTTAGGTTTAAAGACCCCCCCCCCCCTTCAGCCTACACCACAGAAGACAGCCAACGGGGGAGGGGGGGGGGGGGGGGATTAGCGCCAAATAAGGCTGAGCGTCTAGGCAGCCCTGCCATAAGATTGAGTTTTCAGGCAGCATTTCCTCATCCTAGGATAAAGCATCCTCCTCTGTGCACTACTCTGCTCAAAGTTGACACTGTGGAATGGTAGGGTTAAAGGTTAAAGTTGAGAGGATCGACTTCATTCCATCAGGTTTGATCCCATAGGGCTCAGTCTTTCTCCCCAGCCTGCAGAGAGAGCATGAACTCTGTAGCTCCAGGGATCTTCACGAGTATGAGACAAACGGCTTGACCACTTTACCACGGAGACCCCCCACCTCAATACTAGGTTTGGTTTATGCTGCCCAAAATTCTGTGCTAACGAAACAAACAGTACTGACTGGTGTTATACGTTAAAATTTAAAGAACCCCTTTCTACGCTTTTAGGCGTGTTGGGCATATAGGACCAGACCTCTATTTTATAGACCAATCATCACATGGTGGGTGGTGTGGTCAGCATCACATGGTGGGTGGTGTGGTCAGCATCACATGGTGGGTGGTGTGGTCAGCATCACATGGTGGGTGGTGTGGTCAGCATCACATGGTGGGTGGTGTGGTCAGCATCACATGGTGGGTGATGTGGTCAGCATCACATGGTGGGTGGTGTGGTCAGCATCACATGGTGGGTGGTGTGGTCAGCATCACATGGTGGGTGATGTGGTCAGCATCACATGGTGGGTGATGTGGTCAGCATCACATGGTGGGTGATGTGGTCAGCATCACATGGTGGGTCATGTGGTCAGCATCACATGGTGGGTGATGTGGTCAGCATCACATGGTGGGTCCTGTGGTCAGCATCACATGGTGGGTCCTGTGGTCAGCATCACATGGTGGGTCATGTGGTCAGCATCACATGGTGGGTCATGTGGTCAGCATCACATGGTGGGTCATGTGGTCAGCATCACACTGGCCACCAGTACTATTCAGGACTTCACCTGGTACCCGTCTAAGGCTGGGTTGACATGGGAGCCATGGTCATTTCTTTAAGAAAAAAAAAAAGTTTAGCACCATTCAGATTTGAACCCACTACCTTCGGCTCCACAGGCGAGCAACATAATGACATACAATAGAGCTTCTTCGGACTCAGACTTGAGATAAAAAAAAAACGGAGCACTAATGGGTTACACCCATGTGCCATGATGTTGATCCGTTGTTCAAAACCTCAATGACGTACAATAGAATAATTGAAAAAGATATTACCACTGTTCATATGTTCTCCTTATTACTCATCAAGGTTATCACAAGCTGTCACAGCTACAGCATTTTCATATATCAGAGAAAGAGGCCAGCTCCAAGTTTGGGGCCGTCCAAGCCATCGTCCGAGCCGTCTACAAGCAGGACGGGGTCATGGGCTTCTACAAAGGGTATTTTGTGTCCCTGGCCTGCTTTGCACCCAACAGTGCCCTCTGGTGGTTTTTCTATGATCAGTTCTGCGGTAAGCTGTCATGTTCATATTTTCTTTGTGTTTAATTTAAAGTGAATGTGTAAGTGAGAAAGAAGCAGACAGCGATAAATGTGGGAGGATAACATTAAGAGAAGCGCGAGCAAAAATCCGAGAGAGTATACCAAGGATGAGAGACAGTATGCTAGAGATCCATTGCAGCCAACCTTTACTGAGGAATGTTGAATTAAGAATCAACATCAAAGTACTCGGGACACTCCCATAAACACTCCGTCTCCAAGGATGAGAGACAGTATGCTAGAGATCCGTTGCAGCCAACCTTTACTGAGGAATGTTGAATTAAGAATCAATATCAAAGTACTCGGGACATCCCCATAAACGCTCTGCCTCCAAGGATGAGAGACAGTATGCTAGAGATCCGTTGCAGCCAACCTTTACTGAGGAATGTTGAATTAAGAATCAATATCAAAGTACTCGGGACATCCCTTCAGCAGCAAACAAAGAGTTCCAGTTCCAATGGCACCAGTAACTGATTGTATATCTGTCTTGCCCTTCTCTTGAGTGTTAAACATTGGCCAGATCCCCTGGTAACTCCTCGCAGCGCCATTCTCCTCAGACCATAAATATATATTTGCGCTTCCGCACTGTTTACTTGCTCCTAGAGGGCCCTCAAAATGTCCAGATGAATTCACCACTAAGTGGTGCAGAACCTGTCAGTCTATCTGCTTGCTCATTTCCCAACACACCAGCATGACCTGGAGAAGTGGGGCTGCCATTTTTGAACAGCCATAATGATATCACCATGTTGGTCTGCACGGTGCTGCCTCATGCTTGACACTCTTGACATCCTTAACATCAGTATTGACAGGTTACAAGACAGCGGCATGGTTATCATAATTTCGATCACACTTATAAGGTTTTCATTTGAAACCCCCTCTACTATGTTGATGATTTTGAAATGCACTCACCAACCATGTCATTCTGCTAATTACATTCAAATCATTTCTTCAAATACAGTTCTGCTAACCAGCGTTGTACCTGTGTATGTTCCTCGCTTGATGATCCAAGTTGTGGCAGCCCCTTTAGGTGGGGTCTCCTCTGCCGTCCTCACAAATCCTCTAGATGTTATCAGAGCCAGAATACAGGTCAGTGGTAGCCAGCTATGAATGGATGGATGAATAAACTTTATTTTTAGAGTTACTAATGGGACATAATTGCACATCTAACATCCGGCCATTTTATGTCTTCATTTTTTATTATTTCTTGCTTGAGTTTTTCAGTGACTATTGAGAGCTATGCCGACATTAGTAGAGCTATTGGAGAGCTTTTCAAGCTTTCATGTTGGAACAGCCCAAAGAGTAGAAAACAGACCAAGAAAAACACCCTGGTCCTCCGTGTTGGGACAGGCCAAAGAGTAGAGAACAGACCAAGAGAAACATTCTGGTCCTCCATGTTGGGACAGGCCAAAGGGTAGAGAACAGACCAAGAGAAACATCCTGGTCCTCCATATTGGGACAGACCAAAGAGTAGAGAGCAGACCAAGAGAAACACCCTGGTCCTCCATGTTGGGATAGGCCAAAGAGTAGACAACAGACCAAGAGAAACATCCTGGTCCTCCATGTTGGGACAGGCCAAAGAGTAGAGAACTGACAAACACCCTGGTCCTTCATTTCATGTTGTGACAGACCAAAGAGTAGAGAACTGACCAAGAGATACAACCTGGTCCTCCATGTTGGGACAGACCAAAGAGTAGAGAACAGACAAAGAGAAACACCCTGGTCCTCCGTGTTTTTGTGTTGGATTTGTATCAGAAATGACCTTGGCCCCCAGGCCAGTCATCCCTGAAATGGATATCGGTTACAGTTCTGGCAAGTAAAGATGGCCAACATGATAATAACCACATCACCTGTTTAGTCTGATTCTAAAACAAAGGATGTTTTATGAGGGCATCTTCTCGGGTTGTCGATCAACAGTTAATTTTGGGATGGGAGAGTTGGAAAGCAACTGTTATTCTAGATAAAACAATTAGACAGTTTTGAGAACAAATGTCTTAGAAGAATACTCAATCTCCACTGGGCAGATTTCAGATCCAGACACAAATACGACAAGAGACCAAGCAAGATAATGGATCCAATTTTATGTTTAAAAAGCGACGCCGGAACTACATCGGCCATGCACTCAGTATGGATAAGACCAGACCACTCATCAAGCCCTCATATGGACACCTGAAGGGAAAAGAAAATGAGGAAGACCCAGAAAGACCCTGCGTAAAACCATCATCAGGGAAGGTTCAATCATGGGCCTTATGAGTATCCAGGACTTGAAAACAGGTGGCAATGAACCGCCAGACATGAAGAGCTATGATCTATGCGCCACCCTAGGCTCAGGAGAAAAGACTAACTAAACTTTCTAACCTAAACTAACAAACCAACCAACGAGCTAATTAACTAAACTCTTTAGTGCAGATTGATTTATAAAATTGTGTCTAGCCTCATATGCCTGATTGAAAGGGTTTATTACTGTTTTTGTTGTTGTCGAAAAGGGTCCTTAACTGTTTTTTGTTATTGTTGTTGTTGAAAAGGATCTTTCACTGTTTCTATTGTTGTTATTTCAAGGTCTTGTTGATTCCTTCCTCAGGTTGAAGGCACCAAGTTTGATGAGACAGTCAGGCAGCTGTGGAAGGAGGATGGGATGTGGCTTGTCACCAAGGGCCTGTCTGCCCGGCTCGTTCAGTCAATCACCTTCTCGTTCTTCATCATGCTCGGGTATGAGACAATCAAACGATGGAGTGTTCTAGATGAATACAAGGATCGAGTTCGGTGGTGACCCTCAGAGACGTTAGTTGTAAATTATTTATTGTAATCACGGGAGTTTCCCAGAACATATGTCTCCACATATTGTGCATTCCAGCTTGTGACCCGTAGAAGTTCAAAGAATGAATGGACAGTATTGTGCCAGCTGCATTTATCTTCCAGACATTTCCTAAAATCAGTTTTGACTTGGTTTTAGGCTAGATTGTTTTGGGGGCCTAAACTAGTTTATACTTGTTCTTCTTTGTGTTCACTGGCTGTAAACTCCGGAGGAAAATTCTGGTTGTTTGTCCACTTCTGGGCTTAAGTCCTTGTTCCAGAACCTGAGTGTTGTGTGAAGATCCGTTGAACAGATCTGACCTAATTGTATGCAGGATGTTGGTTCCTTGCCTCTCAGGCAGATACCAATTAGTCAACCCTTACAGCATGCTTTTTGGTAAGGCAGTGGGTCTATATATGTTTTCCCAACAATGGGATCCCGGAACCCACACAGGCAAACTAGTTTATACAGTTGATGGTAATTTGAAAGTATGCCTACTGAGCTGGCAAGCAAGAGGTATGGTACCCTTGCTGACGAGATATTTTTGAGTCTGAAAAGTAAATGTTGCTCAGTTGCAAATAAGAACCCATATATTTTCAGCTCAAAGACTTCAAACACATTAGTCTATCAGGTTGCAAATAAGAACCCATATATTTACAGCTCAAAGACTTCAAACACATTAGTCTATCAGGTTGCAAATAAGAACCCATATATTTTCAGCTCAAACACATTGGTCTATCAGGATGCAAATAAGAACCCATATATTTTCAGCTCAAACACATTAGTCTATCAGGATGCAAATAAGAACCCATATATTTTCAGCTCAAAGACTTCACATTAGTCTATCAGGTTGCAAATAAGAACACATATATTGTCAGCTCAAAGACTTCAAACACAGTAGTCTATCAGGTTGCAAATAAGAACACATATATTGTCAGCTCAAAGACTTCAAACACATTAGTCTATCAGGTTGCAAATAAGAACCCATATATTTTCAGCTCAAACACATTAGTCTATCAGGATGCAAATAAGAACCCATATATTTTCAGCTCAAAGACTTCAAACCCATATATTTTTAGCTCAAACACATTGGTCTATCAGGTTGCAAATAAGAACCGATATATTGTCAGCTCAAACACAGTAGTCTATCAGGTTGCAAATAAGAACCCATATATTGTCAGCTCAAAGACTTCAAACACAGTAGTCTATCAGGTTGCAAATAAGAACCCATATATTTACAGCTCAAAGACTTCACATTAGTCTATCAGGTTGCAAATAAGAACCCATATATTTACAGCTCAAAGACTTCACATTAGTCTATCAGGTTGCAAATAAGAACCCATATATTTACAGCTCAAAGACTTCACATTAGTCTATCAGGTTGCAAATAAGAACACATATATTGTCAGCTCAAAGACTTCACATTAGTCTATCAGGTTGCAAATAAGAACACATATATTGTCAGCTCAAAGACTTCAAACACAGTAGTCTATCAGGTTGCAAATAAGAACACATATATTGTCAGCTCAAAGACTTCAAACACAGTAGTCTATCAGGTTGCAAATAAGAACTCATATATTTACAGCTCAAAGACTTCACATTAGTCTATCAGGTTGCAAATAAGAACCCATATATTTACAGCTCAAAGACTTCACATTAGTCTATCAGGTTGCAAATAAGAAACCATATATTTACAGCTCAAAGACTTCACATTAGTCTATCAGGTTGCAAATAAGAACCCATATATTGTCAGCTCAAAGACTTCAAACACAGTAGTCTATCAGGTTGCAAATAAGAACCCATATATTTACAGCTCAAAGACTTCACATTAGTCTATCAGGTTGCAAATAAGAACCCATATATTGTCAGCTCAAAGACTTCACATTAGTCTATCAGGTTGCAAATAAGAACCCATATATTTACAGCTCAGACTTCACATTAGTCAGGTTGCAAATAAGAACCCATATATTGTCAGCTCAAAGCTTCAAATTAGTCTATCAGGTTGCAAATAAGAACATATATTTACAGCTCAAAGACTTCACATTAGTCTATCAGGTTGCAAATAAGAACACATATATTGTCAGCTCAAAGACTTCAAACACAGTAGTCTATCAGGTTGCAAATAAGAACCCATATATTTACAGCTCAAAGACTTCACATTAGTCTATCAGGTTGCAAATAAGAACCCATATATTTACAGCTCAAAGACTTCACATTAGTCTATCAGGTTGCAAATAAGAACACATATATTGTCAGCTCAAAGACTTCAAACACAGTAGTCTATCAGGTTGCAAATAAGAACCCATATATTTACAGCTCAAAGACTTCAAACACAGTAGTCTATCAGGTTGCAAATAAGAACACATATATTTTCAGCTCAAAGACTTCAAACACAGTAGTCTATCAGGTTGCAATAAGTCTATCAAAGACTTCACAGTCTATCAGGTTGCAAATAAGAACCCATATATTTTCAGCTCAAAGACTTCAAACACAGTAGTCTATCAGGTTGCAAATAAGAACCCATATATTTTCAGCTCAAAGACTTCAAACACAGTAGTCTATCAGGTTGCAAATAAGAACCCATATATTTTCAGCTCAAAGTCTTCAAACACAGTAGTATTTTTAGCTCAAACACAGTAGTCTATCAGGTTGCAACTTGTGCTATTAGCACATTGACTCTTTTGTTGTTGTTGCTCCTGAGAAAGGAAACGGAGCATGTGTGGCAATGTCCCAACTACAGGGATGTCAGTTCTTGATTCATTTTCAGCTTAAAAAGGGTAGTGAGAAAATGTGCACTTAGAAACACTGCTGTTTTCTGTATTTTGTGTTATATTTCATGATCATCCGTTAACTGTAGTAGTTTTTTTTTTTTTAAATTAGTTTTCAATTTTTTTTTTAAATCAACGTTGCTTCACTTCCAGGACAGCAGTCTGTAGGCTTAACATCTCAAGAATAAGAATCAGGCAGGTAGAATGTTGAATTAAGAATCAACATTATAGCACTCGGGACACTCCATTCAGTGTCCATCCCCATCTTCAGCAGCAAGAGAAGAGTTCCAATATTGAGATAGGTAGGAATCCCAGAAACCACATTCAACCATTAGGCTATATATATATATAGTACACTTATATTGGGGCACCACAAAACAGTTCAGAAGTAACTTGTAGTCCAGTGTGCATGAGAAGTCTGCAGTTGTCTTCTTTCACTGATTTGGAGCTTCAGGTTAAAAGAGGTGTCGCCGAACATGAACACTATACAGGTAGTCAAAGAAGATTAGTAAACCAGTGCAGAATTA